TTGATTGATTGATTGATACGGATCTAGTACACACACACACACACACACNCAAACAAATAACATGCTGTGGAGGAAAATAGCAGATGGAAACTTGGTTCAGGTGATCTTTGTATTGGATCACTGCTTCGAGAAAAAGTACATACTCAAGCAGGTCAGCTATTTATACCGTAGGCTCTAGGGCTATTTGCCAGTACAGTAGCTCACGTAACATATGAAAATGATTACCAAAGGCGCTTGCCAAAGCCGTGTACGGGTGCCCAATACATGCCAAGTGAGAAAAGTACATAGTAGTGTAGGAGTGTCAGGAATCCATGCAGGGGGGGGGGTTTGCAGTGGGACGGATATAGGTACGTGGGGGGAGGGAGGTAGGGCGGTGTTATGGGGGAAGAGTGGCTTTTTTTTTCATGTAGGGTAAATACTTAGTGCGGTTACTGTAAGTATGAGTCTGAGTTGGTGGGTGAGTGGGTGGGTGGCGGGATGGAAATGGAAGTCGTGGTTGTGTTATTATCTTCTTCATCTTCGTCTTCGTCTTCGTCTTCATACACATGCGACGTAAGACTACAAACCGAAATCTATTGGCATTATGAATACTACATGTATATGTATGTATGTATGTATCTGGGTCTATTCTCAAATCTATCAGTTGCGCTGGAGAGACGCTGGAAAACTAAAGAAGCAGTAAAAAGAACAACTTACACACACACACACACATGACCCCGCATTTTGGGGATATAAGATAATTAAACAAAAACATTCCCCCCTTTCTAGATGGTCTCACCGTACGGCGCGCCATCGAGCTTGAAGCCACCAGGCTGCAGCTTCTGGAATACGGCCTTTGGATCGTATTTCTTGGAAACAGCCAGGAGCTTTGCATGCTTGTCTTTGCCGTAGCTGGGGATGACGTTCTGGTAGGGGCTCGCGTAGTTGAGGTAGATGAAGTCGTGGTGCAAGGCGCGCTTTTTTGCTTCGGCTTTTGCTGCTTTGAGAAAGTCCTGGGCGGCTTGTTGGAATTCTTTGTCTTTGGTCTCGTCGTCCCATACCATGTAGATGAGGATGTGCATGAGGGGTCCGTCGGTAGGCGAAATGCCAAGCGCGTTGCCGCCCTTTTTGCTCATCTGCTCCATGGCGGGCACGGTGAAGGCTTGGAAGCTCAATGAGCCGTGGTCCGGTAGGAAAAGTACATCCTTGCGGTGGCGTGTCTGGAGCCAGGCCATGAAATCCGTGTCGAGCTTGTAGGTCGCGGCCCAGAACATGTAGCGGTGGCCGCTGGGCATCTGCTCCGTCAGCATAAGGCTGTCGTCTGCTAGAGTTCGGTTCTTGCTGGTAGACTGGGCCGCAGGGATATTGAGGTAGTTCTTCAGGATGGCTGGGGGTTTGTCCTCGTTAACGGGCTTGAGGTACTCGAGTTGCAGCGATGCAGCTTCGGTGCCGGCTGTCTGGGAGAAGGCCAGGATCTGAGAAGATTTGGGGTCTTTGACAGCATCCTCGGCCATTGCTACAAAGGCCTCCATAAGATAGAGGTAATCGGATGGCAGGTAATCTCGAACACCGCCCCACATCATGCCCTGAGGAACCGTCTCCAACTCGAATTGCGTAACAACGCCAAAGTTGTTGCCGCCTCCACGAAGCGCCCAGTAAAGGTCGGGGAAATGGGTCGGAGTGGCCTCGACAATGACACCAGACGCGGTGACGACTTCAAAGGAAGCCACATTGTCGCAAGCGTATCCGTAGATATTGGAATGGTGGCTGATACCACCGCCGAGAACAAGGCCAAGGCCCACGTCGGATGCGCGGCCCCCTATCACGGCAAGGTTGTCCTCTTGAAGCTTTTCGTAGATAGCTCCCCATCGGTTTCCAGGACCGACAAACACCGTCTTCTTAGTCCGGGAAAGCCTGATTTCGTTCATAGCCTCCATGGAGACAGTGATGCCATCTTCAATGCTGGCAGCACCAGCGAATGCAGTGTGTCCACCGCCCTTTACTGCAAACGGACACTGGGTAACTCGAGATATTAACACCATGATCGACACATCCTTGGCTTCTGTAGGTACGAAAACACAAGCGGGTTCGACCATGGATGCTTGGGTAGACCAGTAGCTATCACTGAATGCGTCGTACGGGTCGGACCCGGTGGTGAGGACCTTTTCTCCAAAGATGATTTCCAGGGAGCCGCACTTTGTCACAAGTTAGAGATTGCCCCTGGGAGATTAGAATAGCGTGACTTACAGCTGCTGCACATGGGCGTGAAAGGGAGTATTTCTTCGATGCGGCAGCCAGATCAGGAATCGCCGACACGTTGACTCCGTTGGCGATGAGGGCCTCGGTGGCATTGAATTTAGGAGACTCAAAGGCTTCCTGGGCGTAGACACTGGCAGCGAAAGCCCCGAATGAGGCAAGCAGAAAGGTCTTCATCTTCTGTCGTGGTTGGATCTGACACCCGAGTGAAAGATGCAGCTCTTGGAGGCTATTTTATAGAGACCACAGTATGATAATGCCGCTTTGTTGTGGAGCTAGCAGCTTGCTTTTCCTCTCGTGACCTGTATGTCTGGTGAAGGAGTGCATTTAGTTGTTGAGCCGGTCGGTCCACGTTGTGTTACCGCTCCCTAGCTGCATACAGTGCCGCTTCGGCTGCGGGGTCCAGGGAGCGGCTTGAGGCGAATGAAGTTGGGACATCGGGACATGAGCTGAATGGGGGCGGGGGGGGGGGTTGAAGACGCAGGAACGCACAGTCCTAATGTTGGGATTGCGGCTGGAAACCCAGGGGACTTCATAGGGCACTGGGTGCCAAGACAAAGCAGCGAGGCAAGGTTGCAAGCGTGATTGGTGAAGTTGTGTTGATCTTTTTTTTCATGCTTGATGGTTTCTGGATTTGGAAGGTACTGGCGGAAAAGCATGTATCCTTTTCACAGCTTGTACAATGCAAAGAAGAAGTTATTCACGTGGCCCACGCGTGAAGGAAATGCCAAAACTGTGCCACTCGCCTGCATGTGCCCCGTGGCTGCTTGGCTGCTTGGCCCCCACCCAAGACCTGTCTCGCCAGACTTCTTGATCGAGATATCACTTTATTCGAGCTCCGGATCCTTCTCGTTTGTCCGCGGAGTCCTACATATATTGTTGTCATGCTGCCGATCTTCACTGTATCCAGAATATAGTGTCCGGCAGAGACGGGGCCGACACGGAATGTCACCTGAGAGGCCTTTGTCCCCCTCTCCCAACATTCTCTACAGAATTCTCACTGTCATGCCTTCTCATTCTGCTTAGGGCAAAGATGCTCAGTCATGTTGAATGAATGGGCACTGACTAGGGCCGTAATTCTACCAAGTCGCAATCGATGAATGAAGGTTTCACTGCTACAGCACCTTCTTTATACGCATTTTCAGTATTTCTGAAGAAAAAGCGGGCTGCTTCACAGAGTGCCAGGGAGGACTCATCTAGGTTTACTATATAAGAAGAATGCGGAACAAGCGAGTTGATTCAATGAACAAGCATAGTTTTTGCTTTTACACTATAAATACGACAAAAGTTCTGGAAACGATCTACTCTTCTTCCTGATTCAGCAACTCTTCCAGATCTGCAAAGACCTACGCATGAACCCACACCCGGAAAACTTCATGACATATCGCCCGCAGCACAGGATGCTTCAAGAAGAATCATCTTTGCAAGCTTCGCAGATCTTTCTGAGAAAGAAAATCATCATCGTGCTCAAAGCATTGCTACAGATGGAATGATGTTCCTATTAGTACTTTGCGCAAATACTGTAACCCTATCGCCACATAGAATCCCAAGACACCATGAAACTAGTTGAGCTATCACTGCTACACTGTCTAAAATGACCTACTATCCGTATCTTTGCATTAAAAAACTCTACTTACACTGCTGTCGCAACTATAGCCTTAGATATCCAACATATTAATTTTTCTGTCTTCTTTTTACTTTTTCTATCTACAGTTATAGTAGTAAGTACATATTAGCCCTTTATCCTATGAAAACTACACATGGCATTTGTATCTAGCCTGGCTAACCAGTGCGTGATGTGGGGTAAGCACTAAGTAGCTAAGTACAGTGCCCCGCTGAACGTTTTCTCACTTAAGCTCTGGGTACTCTACTGATTCAACTTTTCTTTTCTTTTTTACTACCTACTGCTATTATACTTAAATACTTACTTTTCAAAGAGCTTAAGTGATTTATAACCGATGAAATATAAAGACTTTAGTTGCAGTGGTAAGATCAAATTGCTGTAAAGTATTCTCTAGTGTGGCAAGCAGGTGGGGTCCTGCCTAGTGTTAGGTACGTACTTAGAGGTAAGGCAGAAATCCACCACTTGAACCTTTCCATCGCGCTCGAATGTGCATCAACGCACTTTCACAGCCGGAACATAATCTGCCATGTCCTCACTTTTGATTCACCTCCAGCGTCTTGGAGTCGCCCCCAGATACAACATTCTTCGATCCTCTAGTCGCTTTTCCTTGCCATCCTTTGGATCGTTTCGATATCCTTTTCGAACAACATCTGCATATCCAGACCGTGACTACGAAGATTACTACCGCTACACCAGTGGGCGCTGGCTATGGGATGAGGATTCTCAACTTCACGAGCGGTATAAACGCTTCAATGTGTGTGAGCTCAAGAAGATCGCGGCTAAAACTCTTGGCGCGCAGGCTTGCGTGTCTATAAGCAAGCTTGCTGAAGGCGGGTTCAATAAGGTCTTTCGACTTGCCATGGATGATGGTACTATTGTGATTGCGCGTATACCAAACCCTAACGCAGGACCTCCCTTCAAGACAACTGCGTCTGAAGTCGCTACTATGGATTTTGTACGTTGATTCGTTAACCTTGAATTCGAGATGCCCAAGCTGATACAATAGAATTCCCAGGCCCGAACTGTCCTTGGGATCCCTGTGCCTAAGGTCTTGTCCTGGAGGGGAGAGACCGAAAACCCTGTGGAATCAGAGTACATCCTAATGGAGGAGGCTACTGGAACTCAGCTCGGTGAGATTTGGGATGAGATGGAGCTTCATGATAAGCTCAAGATTGTGGACGATATTGTCGCCATCGAGCGAAAGTTTCTGTCTCTATCATTCACTCGGTCTGTTTTTCCAAATCAGTGCACTTCTGCTAGCATAGTTAACGAAGAACCATAGTTATGGTAATCTTTACTTCGCGAACGACGCTTTCCTTGGCTGCGAAAAAGCTCAAATCGTTGACGAGGTACCACAATCCTTGAAGAAGGATGTGGAGAACCGATTTGTGATAGGCCCAGTCGGTGATCGAAACTTCTGGCTCCGAGAACGAACATCTATGGATATTGACCGTGGCCCCTGTGAGTTATATCCTATACAGACCGCAGAGCATAGTGGTACTAATGTCACTTTATAGGGAAACACCCCCAGGATTATCTCAAAGCAATTGGCCAACGAGAGATTGCCTGGATAGGCAGTCACGCCACTCAAAAGCCGCTAGGTGGTTTATTTGCAACATCCGAAGCACAGCGCACTCCAGATGCCCACGTTGCCCTTTATAGAAAGTTTCTGGACGTTGCTGAATATCTGTTGCCCAAGGGAGATCAGATTAAGCCTACCCTATGGCATTGGGATATCCATGCCCCTAACATATTTGTTCACGAAAACCATATCACTGGTCTTATTGACTGGCAGGATACATGGGTCGGCCCATTGTTCCTTCAGGCACGACACCCGCGACTTGTAGATTACAACGGAGAACTCATGATTAGGCTACCCGAAAGCTACGACGCACTTGAAGATGAAGAGGAAAAAGAGCGTATTCGGATCCAAGTTGAAAAGTCGATTGCCCAGTGGACATACGAAAATGAGACCAGAAACACGAATCCGATCCTCCACGATATTTTGCACATGAACTATGGGCGTACGAGGCGCGACACCGTAGAATTTTCTGCCAACACGTGGGATGGGGATATCATACCCTTTAGGCAATGTCTCATCCGCATAGCACGGTATGTCTGGCTCAATATCCACCATTCAAAACCAACCTAGACCGCTAATACATAAGAGCCACAGTCACTGGAACGAGATCAACAGCGAAATCCCCTGTCCGATCGAATTCACTGACGAAGAGATTCAAGCACACCTTCGGGATGGGGACGGCTGGAATGAGAATGCGGATTTCTGGGACTCACTCCAAGGGTTTGTACATCGCGATGGATGGACATCGAACGAAGATTATGAGCGGGCACGTGAAATGTTCGCACAGCTTAGAGAGCGGGGATTGCAAAGCCTGAGTGGCGAGGAACGATTGGCGTTTGAGGAGAGCACACGATGGGCTGTGAGTAGGCCTGAATAGACTGGGGATGTGTTTTAGAGAGACATTACATCAAAAACGTATTGCAGAAGGGAAGCCAGCTTGCTTTTCCTCGGGACCCTGTAGATCCGGCTTTGCCTTTGGACTGGCATGCCTGATTGTTGAATCCAGCAGTGTATATTATTATTATTATTCTAGTTTAACGTCCTTTTTCAGCCCGAAGGGCTATATAAGACGTGTAGGGTTTTTAGGCCTACAAGTATCTAAGTAGGTTGTTTCTAGCTACGATATTTAGGAGGGGTTTTAACTAACCAGCAGTGTATAGTTATTGTCCTGGCTGGGGCACTGCTCCGCTATGGCTGCTGCTGCACATAGAGGGAATTGGGGTTGGAGTACCTGCGGTCGAGTAATCAGAGCTCCTTGTTCCCTTTTCAAGAAGACGCATTTTTATGAAATACTCAGCTTGATAGGCATGTGCCGGCGAGCGGGCTCACTTGTCGAAATCAGTAAGTGATGGCGTTAGCGTCGCAAGCTTGGACGGAGGCGTATATGGGGCGCATTCCTTTCTGTCTTGCCCTTCTGAGCAGCTGCGGTAAGATGGTATTCGTACGAAGGTATTTGAGGGTGATTGTTCTCATGTACTTTTTAATGTGGCATGACGTACTGTATCAGCACGGGGTCTGTTGCTGGTAGAGGTATAGCAGAGAGGACGGATTGGGACCATGATCGGCGGAAAAGCCAAGGCAAAAGCCGCGGCGATGGCCTTCGGGTAGGAATTGCGCGATTAATGCATATGGCTGTGAGAGCTAGGCATTGCTTCTATGCTTTTCCGGAGGCTGCTCGCCACTGACCGACTCTTCTTGCGTTGTTCAATCTGATGAAGGAGTCGGTGATGCGATTGTCGTACAACTCTTTTCTGTACACAGTATGTGAAGTCAGCATCATGTAGGGGGAATTCAAAGGGAACAGCAAAGTCTTTATAAGTGAACGTTGGATGGGTTGGTGGAAGTCTTCATTAGTACGCGATGGATGGGTTGACTGAAAGTCTTCAGTGCCACAGCTTCTCACAATAGCTGGATTTTAAGCACTCAAGAGTCATACGTGGAGGATCTCAAATCAAGGTATTAAACAAACGATTTAAAATTGGCGTCAAATGTAGACAAAGACGGAAAGAGTTTAGGGCTGACATGGCCTAGCCCACAAACTAGTATCGTGTCTGAATCAGTGCCCGCCGGCGTACTTACGCCACGGTTGCCTAGAATCGAGAACACGCCTCGGTAGTTGCAAAAATGAAGCAAGATCTTGGGACCAGGGCGCGCAATTAAAGTTGTTTCAACGCACACAGGGGAGACGTGTATTTACTTTGCAACACACCACAATGACGTTAGTAATCATATATTTTCCATGGCACTCTCCAGGATATACATCGTAAGCGATATTCCGCCAGCCCAGCATTGCGCCCAATCATGATTCGATCAATATCATATTCCAAAGCTTGTTTCTCTGTTATCCCTGGGTTGTCATGACGATCTTCCGATCGTCTCACGTGCCTCTGTCCCTTGTCCTGGTATCTGACCCGCATGTCTAGAGGCAGCTAGCTCAATCATAAATACGGTTAACGGCCTGTCAAATTGGCAGAGGCCGCGACATCTACTTAGTGCAAGCGCTAACGTGGGCGAACGGTCCCGGAGACGCCGTAACGGCTGCGACCAAAAGCAGGATACAGCGCATACACCGGCAAGAAAGAAGCAGTAGAATCAACATGGCACCCATCCGATATTCGTCGGCTGAAGCTCTCCAGAACGAACATGGCATGTCTCGCATAAGTCGTAGCCCTCTCGCGTCAGGGCGAGGTGAATGCGGCAGCGGGCGTTTCAGTGCGAAGTTGGCAGGTTACCCGCATGTAAATTAAACGCTAACTCTGTGCCACTGATATCCTCCCTTTTGCCAGCGCCAATAGGCTCGGTGCCGGAAGCTGACGGCCAAGCTTGCCGCCATGGATGGGCATCGTAGCGGAATGCTTAAAAAGAAGAGCGTCCACCATCCGTCGACCCGATGCGCGCAGATGGCGCATCTGCCTGACAACCCCAGGTTATCATCGGAGCATCACCTGTCCAGCGTGTTTTGGGCTTCCAACCCCCAGATCTTCGGCAGTATGGACGGCATTGCCGTGGCTAGTCATGCTCTATAATTGGTGTGGATTAAAATTGCTTTCCTAGTCTCGTCCATGCGCCACACGGAGAATACAGAGCGAGGACATGGAGTCTACGCGACCAGCTCGCTAGGGAATGCCCATATCAGCGAGCAAGGATTGTGCGGAGGTTTCCCAGCGATCCGGACGAAGACTCCCTGTACATCGGAAGCACGCGCAGTACAAGAAAGACTCCGCACCTTCCGCAGGCCGTGGTCGGGTACCCAAATTATGCATCTCTGAGTCTCTGCCCCGACCCTCGCCAACATGCCGATATTGACAAACGGCTTTTCGCGATGCCACGTCCTCGAGGTCGCCTACTCGATGCTGAGCTTCACGAGCGCCGTCTTTCTCGCCAGAATCGGCCTCAACTTCCTCAGGCCGCGCAAGGTCAACGTGTCGGATGGGTTCGTTTTCCTGGGCTTCGCTTTGTCCATTGCGCAATGCGTTCTGTACATTACCGCAACGCCGTATATGCGCAGAGTGTATGCCGCCTACGTCGGGGACACGCCGTTTTATCCCACCATCGACAACGACGTGCACACCATGGCTAGGATGCTCTTTTCCGCTTATTTCATATACTATGCGGTGTTGTGGGCGATTAAGTTCGGTCTGCTGTTTCTCTACAGAGGACTCCTGGCTGGTATACCAAAGCGTTATACTCTCATATGGTGGTGCATAACTGCGTCTTGCATCCTTGTAAGTACTTCACCTTATGTGTCAGGTCACAGCTAATCTCTGCTATAGGTCTTACCCGTCATCTACTACCTTCTCTTGACGTGCTGTGGAAGTCCCTCTGGGTTCGTGACGGGCGAGGGTTGCGTAAGTCGACATGTCATTCACATTGAATCGGTGCTGACATGTCCATGATATAGCTGGGAATACATTCATATAACAAGCAACTGCTATGTTTGTACTTTGGCTTTGCCATGGATACGTTGACAAACATTGCTAGTGAGTATTCCTGCCGTGGCCTCTTGTAATCGCGATACTGACTTGCAACCACCACAGTCATGGCATTTCCCGTTTGGGTCATATGGGACCTTCAGATGCCGCGCGGCAAAAAGATCTCCATCATGTGCCTGTTCGCAACTGGTTTCATCTGCGTCATGTTCGCCTGCCTGCGTGTCATCCAGGTCGGCGTCAACACATCCAAACCCATCAACAAAGGCCTACCCCTTGATCCTACATGGCTTGCTATCTGGGGGATGGTGGAGTGTTCGATTGGTAAGTTGACTGAACATGTGCTGTATATCCCAATACTCATACCCTTGCAGCTGTCGTAATTGGGTGTTGTCCTGCGCTCGCTGTTCTGTTGAAAATCTTCCATTCCAAACCATCCTCGCGACCTACTTACAACCCCCACGGCTACCTGCGACAATCAAACAGTAACTCAGACAGTGGAAGTGGACTCAAAACAGAACTAGGGGTTGTTGAGCACAAAGAACCCCGCAACGAGAAATGGTCGTGCGGGTTGAACAAACACGACTCACGCTGGACGGATGCAAACAGTAGCCAGCAGGACTTGAGAACTGACCACGATGCTATCGTGGTTCTCCACACGGTGAGCCAGGACTCTGTGGATAACTATGAGACGCGGTGATTTCAAAGTCACCGCCTGGCTCGCTATGATTTACGAGGTCGCATGTCAATACCCATTCAACATACCCATTCAACATTTCTTCAATAGGGGGTTCAATTATTACAAACACCGCTTTTGACAAGTACTGTGCTATGTAACTTGACATGAACGTGAGTACATATTCAGGGGGTTTCAACCAGATGATGAGCGACAGTGCAGAGCGAAAGGCATAGCCTCGACCCAGGGCTATTTTAAAGATTTTTTTTAAACCCAAGTATCTGGTTGCATACTCCAACGATATTCGCAGCACTCCCGCCTCGATACGTAGCGAACCGCGAACTACAATCCTACTTCACGTGTCTTCCATCAAGTATTGTGTGTACGTACGATTTTCTTTCTGCTCCCGCAGCCCCGTTCGGGATCCTACGGGTATCCGTGCATCTACCCTTACTGTACTTACTTACCCAGCAGATCCCCCTTTTTCCCAGCTGACCACATCACATCACCACACCACAGATGGTCAAGCAAACAAATGATTGCGATAATATCGCGACTGATTTTCCACAAATGAATGCGGTAATTCCATCCGAAGCAGCGCCACGGACGAAATGATTTTCTTATCAGTACTCTAACCCCCCCCCCTTGCTACTTAGATGTATTTCTAAGCCAAGAGCCCTAGAACCCGTGGTGCGCTACTTATCAAGAGTACAGTACACCAACCATCTAAATCGCGCCAAGTACTTACGCATTTCGGCAACAAAACAGCTCTCTATAGCGTTATCGCAGCCACACCTCTAGTAAGAATATCCAAGGCACTAAGTTAATCCCTCCATCTTACCCTACCCCCCTACCCCCCCGCACTTCACGTCGCATATTCGCAACAAGAGCGGTAAGACCATGTTAGTCCCTCAGCCTATGGGGAAAAAAATCCAGACCATTTGTATACCCAGCTGACCAGCGCGCGATGCGGGGGGGGGGGACCAGTAAGTATACTTACATAGTCGTAGCCATTGGTGCAGGATCCGATGCGTAAGTATGCGTGTAGGTACGTGACTCGTGAAGGTGAAGCGAAGCGAAGCGAAGCGAACCAAAAGTAAGACATGACAGCGCCGATCGCCGGTAGCTGCATTGCGCATACACGCGTACTAAGAAGGCTATCTGGCTAGCTAGTCATACGAAAACGGGGTGGCGATGTAAGGGAAAAACGCTAATTGGGGGTTTCGGTCTACACGCGCCTATGGATGTAGGTATGTATGTATGTATGTATGGATCTGGATAGGTATAGGTATGTACACAAGTACGACTTTCAGCTTCGTCATCGCGCCATGTTCACGCTGTACCTCTCATAAGGAGCAGTAACTGCGTAAGTACACTTTGACTATATAGCACGTGAGTATCCAGCATGCATGCATGCATCCACAGAGCCTATCCGCGCGTTGCCAACGCAGTTCCGTTACGCTGCAAAGGCCAAAAGTCAAGTTGAACGCAGCGACGCAAAAAAAAAACCCCCCGCCACAGCTTACTTACTTACTTACTTAGCTACTAAAACTATCACCCGTGAAAACGGACGTTATCCAAGCACCCCCACGTGCCCCAGAACCACGCACCAGAAACCCGCAACGGGATCCGAACCGAACCCGCTCTTGCGTAATTCCGCAATCGTTCGACACAGACACACACACACACACACACGGGGCACATAACACCCCCCCAATCCGTTCCCCAGCAGCCAGTCAATCGGGCCGATGCACACATGGCCTGCCAGACGCAGCACCAGCGGTACGGAGATTGCCATTTCCAGCTTCCAGCTTCGGTTTCAGATGCAGCGTGATCAGCACCCGTATAGCTAAACTAAGTAGGCACTCGTGTCGCTGGGACTAGGTGTAGAGTGCGTACTTGTACGTAGGGCGGCGGTCACGAGGGAGCAGCGACACGGATCCAGCCGGAAACAAGCTTTCGCGACATGCCGTGCTAGCCGCTCCGCGAAAGCTTGAACAGGTGACGTGCTTTGAAACGAGGGGAGATGAGGAGGGGTGGGTATAGATGCGGGTATGGCTCGTGTTGGGTGGTGCTGAGGCAGTGTGAGTATTTGGTGTGCTTGGATAGTAGGAAGGCGGTTGCTTGCAGGATATGGGAGGGGGGGGGCAATTGTGAGATTGGAGATGAAAATGTGAACGATACGGTGGTGAGTAGAGAGCTTGCAGAGTCTGAGGGATTGTTTCAGGATCCCGCGTGTTGTGCATCGGAAAACGAGTGTAAGTGCTTTCTTGTGTCTGGTGGAAACTTGTAGTAGGATAGTGGTAAGAGTAGCAGTGTCTCAAGAGTATTGCAATGTGAGTGTTGGTGAGTCGAACTCGCGGTGTGGTTTAACGGAAAATGCATTTGAAGTAGTATCTAGCAGATAGATGCCTACTATCTCCATGTAGTTGTAGAGAGTTATCTGTCCGTGGAGAGTGCAAATAAGGTAGTTACTATTAAGTTGCGTATAATGACCGAGTTGTAGCTGAATAAGAAAAGTCGCGATACCTAACCTATGACTGTTAAGTGCCTTCTCAAGAGCACAGCAGGATCCAATCACAGAGCCAAGTAGGAATTTTTGCTAGAATTTCTTACTCTTCTCGTACATGGTCGTTTAGCGATGGACGTATGCTGGGGTCCTCTTGCAAAGGCGTCTAGCCAAAACGGTCGGCGGATGCGTAGCGCGTAAGCATTGCATTATATCGATCGCCCCACTATAACCCTAATTCTTACTCTGACTTCGGCTGTAAACTTTGCTCAGACTCTGCTCGGATCGAAGCAGAGTTTGGATGAAACGAATTCAATGGCAACTGTAGCGCTTGCTCCATATATCGCATCTTACACCACAGTGATTGGAAATCACATACTAGATAGTGAGCTTCGGAGTCCTCGTTTGCTGTTAGAGCGGCAGAAATGCCATCGGGGGTTGAGCATTCGAAAAAGACTGTTTGGAGATGCAGTCGGAGCACTCCTACTCGGGATAATGTGGTCGTTACTGTCCGCTCCAGATAAGACGTAGAGCCACTCATCGTATCGCAGTCCAGCTTCACCATTGGTGGCCATCTTTCGTTTTAGCATCGCATCTTCATTTCTCATTTCAAATGCCATGCTCTTTGCAGTATTGCGAGCCAATCCTACCTGCTAAAGCACAAAATGGAGCGCATCGTTCGTTGCGCTGCAGTCCATGATTGTGTATCTTGAAACTTGAGCCCGGTCAGAAAACGCATATAGGGGCGTCCAAACTTTTGAGGGAAAATGAACAGATAACATGAAGGGCCCACGTTCCCATAATGCCTTCTATTAGATTCGGGAACGGTGAGGAGATTGCGAAAGGAGCGAGGAGCGAGATGTTGCGAGATCGTGCCTGAGAATGGAGTGAGTCCGAAGGTGGTTGAGTTTCTAGCACAACACCGGAGCATGTGAAAGGTAGACTAGCGAGATTCTGTCGAGTTTACAGCTATCCTGGATTTTTTCCCGATATTGGATCGGTAAGATTTGCCGAAAGGGGTGTGGTGGTTGATGTCGGGGCCGAGTGAGTATGTCTCTATGCAGCATCTAGCACACTGTCTTCCACATGTGAATTTTGCTGTGCATGGAACACCCAACCGGCTGGTACATGATTTGGAGCCTGGAGCTTGAATGATAATTCAGAACCATCTTTGCCTGAGTCCGGAAGTTTGAGCGGTTGTAGGAGATGTGACCTTGGTGCGTCGCACATGTCTTGAGACTTGTCATGCTCTTTTCTCGTCTTTCCGAAAATCCCAACGACACTGGATCCATTACGCACTCGCGGCTCGACTGTAGTATAAAGCGAGAGACTGGAAGTTAGCTACCAGGGTTCCGTGGGCTTCAAAGCAGACGGAGTCAAAGATATGCCCGCGACGGGGGTGACGACAGCTGCATGGTCGGGTGACTGAGTTTTTGCCTCGGTATGCCTTTACAGGACAACTGATGGTGCATCTGGGACTTGGTGGGCGGAAGTAAGTATCCGCGGGAGAGTCGAGTAACGACGGAGTAATTTGAGGGCGACACGATGGGGAAGGCGGGGCCGATCGGTCGCCTTGCGATGTGTGCGTGTCAATATCCCTACATCGGGGCATTCTCCATTGGGCTATGCCGGGTTTAAGGAAAACGGAGAATGGCTGTGTGGATGCTCCACCACACCCCAGCACCACGTTGTCGACTTGGATAGCCACCGCACATGGTTGTTCTTTGGGAACGGCTACTCCAGACTGCGCAAACCAAGCGTTCTGTTTGCTCTTCCGATTGGCCTGGCGGATGTACAGAGAAAGCAGTCTGTCTTTGCACATGGTGCAACTGTCGGAGGGGGAAGAAGAACAGTGCGGGGAAGCAACGTCGGTGGCGGATGCACGCCATGACGGGGTACTGCAGCATCCATGGGCGGCGAGCCATTTCTGCGGTCTTGGACGCTAAGCTTGCGGTTCCTGAGAAGAAGTTGTTGCCGTTGGTGGGGACATTGAGTGGTGCTTGGGGCGGCCTGCTCAACTGGGCGCCTTGGTTGGAGGATGCATCGGATGAAAGACCATAAGTACGGGAGCCAGGTTTTGGAGCAAGCGTCTTGGCGGCGCAAAACAAAGCTGCATCGATGCGACGAAATGAATGTCCATGTTTTCTTGCGGCGGCGCGTGATTTGGTGGTTGTCTCGGCACAACGGCCAAGGCGTGTTAGTGAAGCTGTGTCGGTTCCGGATGACGTTCTGCTGACTGAGGCGCTGCCGACGTGCCTGAGGCTTGTTCCAGCGTCGCTATAACAGCCATGATAAACGGCTACATGCCCGCCCGCAATGAGGCCAAAGCCATGACTTTGTGCCTCCTGCACCCCGCCTGCCGCCAGCAACACCCTCACCCACATAGATTAGCCTGGCGACAAATGCCGCCCAATCTTGCCATGACCCCAGCACCCCACAACCCCAGCCGGCCACGCTACACGACAGTTTGCTGCTTGTATGGCTAAACTTCGGCACGGCATCTTGATCTGGCCAATCGCCGCCCCGCATCGTCCGTGGCCCCTCCACTTTCCCAGAGACGCCCACTACAATCACCATGTCATGATCCCCGCAAAACCTCAACGCCGCCTCGCACTTGTTCACAAACAGTGCCTATACCGTCATGCCCCGGATTCGAGAATGCAACGGCAGATGGCTAGGCGCAACCTGCCATCCGCGGACCTGGAGCTCGCCCCGATGCAAGGCGCCTCCGCACATTCACCCTCGACGCTATAAAGCATGGCGAACCGCACCGATGCCATGAATTCTTTCAAGCAACCAAAGAGCTGCCCATCATGTTGCGCAAAGCTGCCCTGGCGACTGCCCTGTTCATTGGCCTTGGCGTCTCCGATGCTGCTGCTCCGACCGCCCACACCAAGAATGGTTCCTATGTCGGCTCGTATATTCCCGAGTACGACCAAGACTTTTTCCTCGGTGTGCCCTATGCGCAGCCACCGGTTGGAGACCTGCGCTTCCGGAATCCAGTCGGTCTGAACAGCACCTGGCCCGAACCCAAGCCCGCAACACAGTACTCTTCTGAGGCATGTGTGACTCCTTTCCGCTCCAGTTGTGTCTTGACTAACTTTGGCCTGTAGTGCTATGGCTACGGCTCAGACCAGTGGGGCTACCCGGTATGTCCAGCCCTCTGCCGATTGGCTAGCACGTCGCACTGACTTTGTACTGCTTCTAGGTCTCAGAAGACTGTCTTTACCTCAATGTCATCCGCCCTGCAGGATGCACCGAGGACGACAAGCTACCTGTAGCATTCTGGATCCACGGCGGTGGCTTCTACATGGGCGGCGGTGTAGACAAGCGCTACAACCTGTCCTTCACTGTGGAGAACTCGGTAAAGATTGGTAAACCAATCATTGCAGTTTCCATCAACTACCGTCTGAGCGCATGGGGTTTCTTGAGTGGAAGTGAAGAGGTCAAAGACTCGGGCAATCTCAACCTCGGTCTCCGAGACCAGCGCCTAGCCTTGCAATGGGTCCAGGAGAATATCGGAGCCTTTGGAGGTATGTCAACGCGATGTTTGTTAAGCAACTGGTAAGCTGATAGCGGGTAGGTGATCCCGAACAGGTCACCATCTATGGCGAGAGTGCTGGAGGCGCCTCAGTCGGTTTTCAATTGACTGCATACGGCGGTCGCGATGACAAGCTCTTCCGTGGTGCCATCATGCAAAGCGGCAACCCCATCAACTTTAGAGCAATCCCTGATCCGGCTACTGGTTACGCAGGCATGTACAATCTGATTGTCAGCCGTGCAGGCTGCAGCAATGTTACTAGCCCGCTCGAGTGTCTGCGCAAGTTGCCCACCGCGCAGCTCAACGCTGCCATCAACGTTACAAGTCCGGTTCTCAACACTACCCAATTCATGCCCTGTCTGGACGGCGACTTTATTCAGAAGCGGACTTCTCTTCAACTGGAGGCTGGCGAATTCGTCCATGTTCCCATCATCTCAGGAGCCAACTCGGACGAGGGCAGTTCATTTAGCCCATTCCCTGTGAACGATACCGAGGACCTACGTACCTATATCATGGCAAGCGGCGTGCCCGCCAACCTGACAGAACAGTTACTCATCGCTTACCCGGATGATCTTGCAGTCAATGTGATTGCCAATCTGGGCGATACAAGACCAGGCATGCCATTTGGAGCACAGTTCCGTCGCTCGGCATCTTACTTTGGAGACCAAGTCTTTATTGCAAACCGCAGAAAGACGTGCGAGACTTGGGCTGCTGCAAATGTCCCAGCATATTGCTACCGCTTCAACGCCATCCCCGCTGGCCTCCCTCCGCAGATTGGTGTCACTCATTTCCAGGAGGTTTCATTCGTCTTCCTCAATCTTGAGGGCATCGGCTACCCGCCTGTTGCTGTAAGTACTTTCTTTGAGCCCGGGACTATTGATTGGGTTGACTAACTGTTCTAGACCCCACCCTTCCAGAACAAGTCGGAGGCCTACCGCGACCTTTCTCGCTTCATGAACAGCAACTGGGTCAGCTTCGTCCACGACCTCGACCCCAACGCTTGGAGGGACTCGTACGACTGGAACGGTACCGAGGCAATGTGGCCCAGGTACGCCATTGCCAACCCCATGGATATTGTCTTTGACGCAAACGTCTCGAGCTACGCCGAGCCCGATACCTACAGAAAGGAGGGCATGGCGCTAATCAACGCCCACAACTATGACGTCTACAAGCGATAGACGCCGCTTGCACTTTTGTATATAGCAACCAACAAATAATGTAGTGATGACCGTTAACCTTGCTTTCAACCAAAACAAAAAAAATGACATGTGAACCGTTTTCCAAAATCACTGACGACAACACTCTAAAGTAGTATCATCAGGCCACCCGCCAGCACCGCCGCCGCCGCCGCACGCTGCACGCTGCACGCCGCACGCCAGCCTCTATTCCACGCCTCCTCCTGCACCTTTGATGCTCCTCCCTCCCCATCTTCCCCCCTTTCCCACTTATTACATCTCGCTTAGACGTATAGTTAAAACAATCCGACTTGTCACACTTCAAGCCACATGGCCCTCGGTTCCACGCTTCCCTGCGAATCGCATTGTCGGCAATCCTTCGCCCTTTGGCCCCCCCCTCCCCTCTCTCTCCTTAGGGAATGCAGAAGGCGAGGCGCGGTAAGCTGACGCGGCGGAATCGGCGCAATCACAAGCATCAACGCGGTTGCTGCCTGGGGGGGGGGGCTACGTTTACGTCTACTTACGTCTACGTCTAGCTATGCCTCTAACTTGCACTTGCACTTGTGCGCCGCATACAGTTACAACGCGCATACATTCATTCAACGGGGGGCACCTAATATCCTACGTACTTAGTGTTTAGCGAGATTTTGTTGTTGTTGTTGTTGTTTTTTCGGGGGAGGCTGTTGCTTGTACTCGGCTCCGCCTCGCTTGGTCTCTTGTCTTTGTCGTGCCGCTCGCGTGCATAATCGCCTTGTTAATGTGGCTCATGGATGGAGTTAAGGATGCGCCACTTATAGGGGTACCGAAAGGCATATTTTTCTTGGGGGGGTCTTGGTGTCCGGTGAGAAGGGAGGGAGGGCTGTGGAGGGTGGTTGGAGAGTGGGGATAGACACAGTAAGTACGGAGGGAGGGACTGACTGTGGATAGTATGTTGTGTGTGTGTGTGTGTGTGTGTGTGTGTATGTATGTATGTACATGTATCAGAAGCGAAAATGCGTACGTATTCGAGTCAAGTATACTACAATTTCCAGGATTACTGCTTACTTATTTGTGTCTTCATATCTTCTTCTCATTGTTGCACTTAGTAGTAGTAGTTAGGGGAAAAAAAAAGTCTGTATGTATATATCGCAGCAGCACTCGGAGAACAAAAAAAGCACGCCAAGCCCCATCCTCCTCCGCTTCCTCGTGTGATAATCCCCGAATCCACCACACACCTACGCCTTCGCATCAACCATGCATATCCACCTAACCCCAAAACAGCTTTATATACGCGACTCGACAGCAAAAAAAAGGCCCCATCCCAATTTTTTTTTCAGGCCTGACGCCAAGCGATTACATGATACCTTTGCGCCTGCACCAGGTGGTTTCCGCAGTGGCGGAGCTGAAGGTGGTACGGTGAGATTTTGTGGGACGTGAGATTTTGAGTCTGTTTTTAGGCCCTGTGGTGATGACGCGCACATGGGAGTGAGGGAGATTGTGGGTGTGTATGTGGATATGTGTGCATAGGGCGATTCAGCATGCGTTACGTGGTGGGTATGGCGGTGCAAGCCACAAGGCTGGGCGACGACGTGGTGGTAGTGGTTACGGTGGTAATGGTGAGGTGGGTGACGTGATACATATAGGATTAGAAGAGGTCTTTTTATAACATGTTTGGTTGAACAGAGAATCACATCAGATCAGAAGCGTGTGCTCAGATCTCGACGACGCTTTCAGCTGTGTTTGGCGATATTGACCGACTTGTTTACTCTCTCTCCCTCTCATCTTTCAACCAAGTCCCTTGGTTTTACAGTCTATTTTCTTTTACCTCGTCGAAATGTCTACTACTTCGACTCCACAACCACAGTGCACAGAAGTGGGCCCGTTTTGTCCCGTCCAAGACACAATCTATGGCTACTATCCCAGTCTTGGAGCGAATGCCTTCTTCGCTGGCTTCTTCGGTCTCGCGCTCATCTTCCAGCTCTACTTTGGCATCCGATACAAGACATGGACTTATATGATCGCTCTTGGTTGCGGATGTCTTGCCGAGTGTGTTGGCTACATCGGGCGCATCATACTCCACGATAACCCTTGGAACGATGTCGGATTCAATATTCAAATCGTGCTGCGTAAGTGGTTGGTGTGGTAGCAGCACGCGGCGTGTACTGACAATGGACAATGTAGTCATCTTCGCACCCGCATTCCTAGCAGCAGGCATCTACCTGACGCTCAAGCACATTGTCATCCAGTTTGGTGCAGAATGGTCAAGGCTGAAGCCGAACTGGTATACCTACATCTTCATCGCAGCAGACATATCGTCTCTGGTTTTGCAGAGTGCCGGTGGTGCTCTTGCGGCGACAGCGGATCCAGGAGAATCCCTCCTCGATATCGGTACGGATATCATGATCGCCGGCATCATCTGGCAGGTTGTTGGTAAGTCACTGTTGGCTTCTCTGCAGGGACAAGTAAGCTGACCCGTAGCTAGTGCTCGTCATCTTCGGCCTTCTTGTTCTCGAGTACAGCATTCGTACCTACCGCCGCCGCGACCGTCTCTCCGTAAAGGCCCTCGAGCTATGGTCTAATCGACGCTTCAAGTGTTTCTGCGGCGCCATCATCGTCGCCTACACGGGCATCCTGGTTCGATGCGTGTATCGAATCCCCGAGCTGCTCGGTGGCTGGGGCGGCGAGCTCATGCAGGAGGAGACGGAATTTATCGTCTTGGAAGGTGTCATGATTGTGATTACAGTGCTGGCGCAGACAGTGTTCCACCCTGGGCTATGCTTCCCCGCGCTCGGGAATACCATTGGGAAGCGAAAGCAGGCCCAGGGGAGCGGGTCGGAGACAGATGTCGAGATGTTGGAGCAAGGACAGGCGGCCTCTAGGCAAAAGGTGTCCCACGGGGCTCCTAGGTCTTAGTGGGAGAAGCCGAGAAACGTGCAAGACGGAGGCAATTTGTTTAATTGGGACATGGTATGCGTGCGTTATATGCGTTATATAAGGTTTGGCAGGGATGCCGATGGCTGGGCTCTGGGTACGGCGTTGATGGTATAGAGACTCAATCTTAATGTTTAGACTTCCTTCTTCGTTGTAGCGCCGCGGACGGTTCTGGAATGCATAAGCAGAGGATGCTGTAGAAAGAGGAATGCCGACGGTGATGCAACGCCATTTCCGATTCGCTAGCCTCACGAGCTCGGGCCCCGGCCCTCAGCCTCGCTCTAGTCGCTCGTCCAGTTCCCGCATTGCCTTCTGCTCGACCAACGTGCGCATTTACGGCATAATACCCAGAGCCACATGTCACCAGTCGCGAGGCTTTCCAGGCCAGGATGAACCCCTCAACCGCCCCAAGCGACCAAAGTGCCGCCAACAATGGGGCGCCACCTGCCACCGGCACCGCCGCAGCCATAACCGCTCCCACGCCGCAACCCACAACGCCTGCAGCGCCCGTATGGTCGTCCCCAATGGCCTCCTCCTCTGCAAACACTGGCGTCACTGGCGCCCCCAACTTTCCGCAGTACTCGGCATCCACAGCGGCCATTCTCGAGAGACTCCAGGGAAAGAACGGCCATGCCGCCGGCACTGCTGCGTTCGAAGCCAAGCGGGCGGAGATCCTCCAGAGTTATGTCACCAGCGACAAGTTGCCGACACCCCCGCCAGCCACGAGCACCAGCCGCAGAGGAAGAGGAGGCAGAGTCAGCACTCCGAGCGGCCTGAAGACTGAGGTCGGCGCATCGCCCGCGCCCGCGTCCGCCCCGTCGTCGGGACGCGCATCTGTCAGAGGGCGTGGGAGAGGGCGTGGCGGGCGGGGAGGACGAGGAAGCAAGCGCAAGCGCTCCGATAGCGACGAGGAGAGCCATGTCAGTGTGCGCGACGGGCGGGGAGACTGCAGACTAACATGGTGTAGAACGACGACGACGACTCTGACGTCTCGGATTCGTACACGCCGCTCCCGACGAGAACAAAGTCCGGCCGAAGTGTGAATAAGCCTGTCGCATTTGTGCCCACCATCCCAGAGCCGGCCCAGGGCGTGAAGCGGAGAAAGTCGACCAAGACGCTCCTCGCCGCAAAGTGCAAGACGTGCCACCGAGAGACCGACCCGGCCAACAACCGCATAGTATTCTGTGATGCCTGTAGTACCGCCTATCACCAATACTGCCATAACCCGCCTATCGGCAATGACGTCGTTACTGTGCTGGAGAAGGAGTTCTTATGTAGTCCATGCACGCGGGCGAAGCAGACCGCTGTAGAAGGCGTACAGGATCTGGTCGCTGCCGAAGACTTGTCAATCGAGGAGGTATGTTCTTCGGGCAATAGAAGTAGAATGCCATGGAGATACTTCAGTATGCTGACTTGTGCAGAAACGCGCATACTTTTCTACTCTTCCCCAACAACAACTAGTTGGCCTTCTCCTCACAGCCACAATCCGACATCCGGAGCTGCCCGTCTTCCCTCCAAATGTCCGGAATCTCATATCCGATGCTTCGAAAACAAAGGCGCAACCAGACAATCAAGAACAGCAGCAGCAGCAGCAGCAACCAGAGCAAAAGCAACAACAAGAACAGGAAACCCCTCCGGCACCTCAAACAAATACCCAGTACCAAACCGTACCCGCCATCCCCCAACCCTCAACCACCTCGTCCGCAAACGGCGACACATTGCCATTCTCGTCACACGCACAGTCAGAACTGGGCTCTGCCGAAACCCCCATGTTCGGCGAGTCCAGCCACCAGTCCCGCACAACAATGGATCTGGCCGGCAACCAGTACGACGAAGACGACGGCTACGACACGGATCCGCCCGCACACTACCCCAAGGCCGGCAACGGGCTTGCGCGCACGCTGCGGCCCGAGAGCGAGGACCTCAACTGGCTTGTTGACGACAACTTTGAGGTCTTTAGCCACGGTTGGAAGGGCGATGGCACGGGCATGGGGGCGGACGGCTCCCTGGATGGGTTGGGCGAGGGCCAGAAGGTCGTCTAACGGCGTGCGCACGAAGATGCCGGGCGTGTGAAGATCTCGGCCTAGATGGTGGTGTTGGTGGGGAGAAACGGTAGTACTACTAGCATGAAATGAGCGAGGAAGCAAAAAAACAAGCAAATAGGGGAGGTGGGCTGGCTATATTCAAGGGTTCAACAACAACAACAACAACAACCAAAAAAAGGGGGAGAAGAATCAAATACACAATCATGCGTACTTGATATGCGGCCGTAGTCCCTAGTAAGCCGCGGGCTTCGCTTTTTTTTTTAGAAGAAAAAGATCGAGTCAATAAATGCATCGTTAGATTGGTGTCAAATACAGATGCAAGTGTTGTGTGATTATGGAACAAAAGAACAAGGAGCAGAAAGATGCAGCGGTTTGTATTACTAAGATACTGAGAAGAAGAAGACAAGAAAAGAAAAAAAGGGTATGATTACAAGCGAAGCAAAAGCGTGGTATCTCGAGAAGATGGCTAAGCAAGGGTGTTGAGGGAGGAAAAAAAAGAAACACAAAAAAATAAAGAATATGATCAGAGAAGAAGAAGAAGAAGAAGAAGAAGAGAAGGAAAAAAAAAGGAAAAGAAAAATGATGAAGAAAGAAAAAAAGAGAGAGAAAAAAATCAAGACGCTCCCCTCCATGACAGCCCCATGCACTCATTACGGTTCAGTGTGCGTATGCGTGAGTTGTATCCAAAGGCCCACCAATATCCCTGGTGAGAATGCTCCAGAAAAAAAATGCCCCTTTCTCATGCAAAACGGTGTCGTAAACGCGGCGTTAAAAAAAAGTGTCGTTTTTTTGTGGTCGTTCGCTCATTCATCATCCATGGCAAAAGCACTGGGATCCTCCCACTTCTTGGCCTTGAGCACCCGCATCCGCTTGACTGGGCTTGCCGACCTCTGCTGGCTGTCGCGTTCTTGGGCCTCTAGCTTTGCGCGGAGCATTTCGTTTTCTCGTTCCAACTCCTCGAGCCGGTCTCGCAGCTCGGGATCGGGGTCTTCGTATACCTTGATTTCTTGCCTCATTTGAGCTTTTGTTGCTCGAATGACGACGTCGATTTTGGAGTCAATATGGGCTTGTTGATTGTCTTGCTCGTTTTCCAGGGCAGTTTGCCACCTCCGGCGTTCTTGGTCGACCGCCAATTCCATCTCGTGGTAGCATTCGTCGCGAATTTCCTGTTCCAGGTCCACCATGTGGTCTTCTGCAGCAGCCCAGGATGCTTCGGCAGCTTTACGTCGAGCAGTCTCTTCAGCCAGGCGAATGGCAAAAACTTCCATCTCGGCAGTCAGGCGAGCGACCTCGGCGTTGGCATGTTCGAGTTCCTCGATTATTGCAGAGGGTGTTATTCTGCCCGAGGACGCAGTGCGCGCTGATGATGCTGTACCGGGACGCTTGTGTGGTAAATTGGCAAGAATGGTCTCCGTGGTGGATGGAATTCGCGGAACAGTGACCTCTCGGGCGAGAGCAGAGTAGCGGAGTATCTGAGATGTCGCATTGTAATCGCTGTTGGGATCTGCTGTTACCACCATAATAGACTTTTGCGGTGACCGATGTTGTTGTGCGGTCCGAGCTGAAGATGGGTACGAGTTTGAGAAGAGAAGTTCGGTAAGTTTGCATTGGCGGAAGGGAACCATGTTCTGCGCACTGATTAGTATTGCTTTTTCGCACAAAAAACCAGTGTTGACCCTACCTTTGAGCCGCCTGCGTTGTCAGATTGCATTTGCATACACTGTCCAAGATACATCAGGGACTCGTTGATTTTGCCAGCTTCAGCAAGCGTCTCGCCAGTAGTCTTAGCATTCCGCGCGCGCTCAGAACCGGCCAAGTCAACAATGGTAAGGTTGCTGCTGGACCAGGGGCCTTGGTGTTCCGCGTTTCGCTTCTTAATCTCAATGTTGAAGAAACCGTGACTGCGTGAGCTGACGGCGTTACTTCCAGTACCAGTGACCTTGCGCTCCATAAGACCAGTCTCGAGCACCATCATGGCCTCCTCAAAGCTACCACAGATGATCTTGGTAAGGCCAGCAACAACCTTGCGATCCGGACTCCGCTCCGTGTTCTTGAACAGCAACGCCCTACGCTTCACGTTGTGACTCTTGTTCCTTGAAACGCTGCCACTCAAAAGGTCGAAAATGCGGTCGTTGTATACTTCGAACATGGATACGACGATCGCGTACTCGACAGCGGGATCTTCTGGGAGCTCAACATCGTCGACGGAAGGCGATTGAGGCATCATCGAGGGTCGCGGTATCTTGTTCGATTTCCAATTGCTACCCGTGGAGAATATACTACAATCCTGTGCCATTCGTGAGCTTTTGTTCCAAGAGGGTCCTTGACGCAGGGGCTCGGATTACCTGCATGGGGGTCTGCGCTCGCGAGGGAAATCGCTCAGACTGGTTGTCGCCGTACATAGTGTCCAAGTAGGCGGTCGCGGTGAACATTTGCGCTTCTGAGACGTCTGCTGATGCCAGTGAAGAAAAGGCCGGGGCACCATACAAAGACTGAATAAGTTGCCCGTCGCAGGCTTGATATATAGTAGCTAGCGTCATCTGAACGAGGCCACGCTGGGTCTTGGTACCGAGAATAGTGTGACTCTTCGAGTTGGTTAGTATCTTGATCTATAGTGTCCCACGCTATCAAGCACACCTTTCCGGAGCCACTGCAACCCAGCGTTGCAAACAACCCATCGCGCCCGTGGTGGCCCGGTGCGCCCATGACGCCCTCGATCATGCGCACAATGCCAGTGCCTTTGAACAGGTGCAGTTGCTGCGCCTCTTCCTCGAACACGCGCGTGAAGGCGAAGCGCTCCACGGCTCGCTTGCGCTTGTCATTTGCATTTGTAGGCGGCTGTATGGTGATATGCGTCGGGTGGTCACGATCGCTTTCCTCGACAGTCAGGAAGCGAGGGTTGGTAGACGTCGAGGGGCGCAGACGCAGGAAGACGTCAAAGAGCGAACTAGAGGGTCGCTGCGGAGTCTCCATGTTGATCGTGCCTATGTTTATGTGGGAGTCTTTTCCACACAGGCGGGCGGAGAGCTAGTTAACGTTGGCGTACCGCTAGCGTGCAGCCCGGCTATCTTCGCGTGTATCGGTCAACAAGCCCCGGCCGCGGTTGCCTCAGGCAACAGACGCGCCTTACCGCGTCGCGCCATGACGTCTTTGCACGTGACACCGCCTGCGCCTGCATCTCTCCCCTACTGTGCATGTATGCTTCACGAGACAAATATCCACTGGGTTTTACTAGCCACGATATGCTTTATATACATTCATCGAACCAGGCGCGCGCCCCGGTCCCCCGGAAGGGCGCGGATCTGACACTTCTGACACTAAACGCTTAATTCACAGGACCGACATGCTCCAAACGGTGGCATAGCAGCTACGCAACAACACCCTCACTGCGCAACGCCTCCACCTCCTCACTGCTCATACCCAGCGTGCCACTGAGAATCTCGTCGGTATGCTGGCCCAGCATTGGCGGTGGCAGCCGGATCCTTGGAGCAGACTCTGACCACTTGACCGGCGTGTTGACCAACTTGATTGGCCCGCAAGCGGGGTGCTCTACTTCTTTAACCATGTCTCGAGCAAGAACTAAGTTTTTCTTTAGTAATAGTAAGGGCTTGCCATATTAGCAGTGGAAAGCGTACCATGCTCATGATTCAACGCGTCTTGCACATCGTTGATGGCAGCGTAGGCTGGAAATGTCAGCCCAGTCTTCGTTGAACAAAAGCAATGAGAGCTACTTACGCATTCCACTGCCCTCGAATATGTCTAGCAGCTCTTTTGTGGTTTTCTTTTGCGTCTCCGCTTCGATTAGCTCCTCCAACTCATCTCTATGTTGAACTCTCAACGCATTTGTCTTGAACTTTTCATCGACAATCCACTCAGGTTTACCTAGTCTGTTGCACAACACCCCGTACAGCCTGTCGTTCCCACCGCCAAGCAGAATGTCACCGTCGGCCGTCTTGAACGCCTTGTAGGGCACAATTGACGGATGCGAAGTTCCCCAGCGACCAGTGTCGCGCTGCCCACTGATAAGACAGGAGCTAGCAATGTTGGCCAGGGTAGCAATTTGACAGTCGGAAAGAGCGACATCAATGTGCTGGCCGCCGGATCCGGGGTTCTTGAGGCGCCGGAAAAGGGCTGCAATAATGGAGTTGGAAGTGTAGAGGCCGGTGGTCAGATCAGTTACTGCAACGCCTACCTTTACGGGCGGGCCGTCGCGGGTTCCAGTGATGTGCATGAGGCCCATTTCACTGAGTCCATATTAGCTTGTGCTGGCGTTGTTGTATGGATCGATATTTTGACGCACGCTTCTACCATAACATCATAGCCAGCTCTGTTCCTATACGGCCCTGTCTGGCCGTATCCCGTAATGCTGGCGTAAACTATGTTTGGGTTGATCTTTGATACGGTGTCATAGTCCATAGCATACTTGGCGAGGGACCCCGGGAGATAATTCTCCACGAGCACGTCGCATTCTTTGACAAGTCGATGTAGGATGTCTACGCCGGCTGGGTGCTGGAACGAGAGCCCCATGGATCGTTTGTTTCGATTTACCTTATGTTTGTGAGTGTCAATTAGGCATGTAGGTTCAGCAGTCGTACGCCCAAGTAGTATGCGCTTTCGCCTGGCCCTTCTTGGTTGTTTGTGTACTTTGCATAGGGTGGTCCCCATGCTCGTGTGTCGTCTTTGTGTGCTGTTAGTGTTCGTATGGTTGACAACGCCGTGTGATGCCCACCTCCTCTTGTGGGATGTTCAATCTTGATAACATCGGCTCTGCGCCACGGTCAACTCATACTCCTCCCTGTGGCCAACCTGTTGTTGGTTCATACAGGGCAGTCCGCATCATACCCGAGATCGCCCAGTATTTGCGTACAATACGGCTGGAGTCATCAGAACGAGCTCAGGTTCCTTGTGAATAGTGTCTTACACCAGCAAGCACCCTCGTCATGTCAAGCACTTTGATGCCGTCCAAAGGCAGATTAGATGCATCCCCGCTTGCTGCAGCGGTTGCAAGCCGCCGAACATGACTTGCTCTGGTCCAGCTCAACCGTGAAATCGGTGACGCCTTCTGGAAAGCACACCGCGAGATTCGCAACACAGGACCGACCATTTTGAAATTGAAGTTTGAGGATCATGACATGTGTCTGCCGCCGGGATGCCTTTATGGGGCATACTTATCCGGGGCTAGGTAGCTCTTGTTCCGAGGTTCATGGGTAGCTGCAGAACCCCACCTTCGTTACTCTGTCTCCAACCCTCCACCCCCGCCATGTTTACTGGACTCGTCGAAACCATTGGCAGTAAGCAATTCTGCGCCATCCTTGCTGCGCAGCTGCGCTGATGATAGCTAGCGGTTGCCGCCCTTGAGAAGCTCGACCAGACAGCCTCGGGAGGCGGCGGCACGTCTCTGACAATAACGGGATGTGAGGAGATTCTAGTGGACGCCCATCTGGGCGACAGCATTAGTGTCAACGGTACGTCGCAGCAGTCATGTCAGGCCTGTCGTCTAATTTGGCCAGGCACGTGTCTTACCGTGACCGAATTCGACAAGTCTTCGTTCAAGATTGGATGTGCCCCCGAAACGCTGCGGCGCACCAATCTGGGCTCGCTGAAGGAGGGCTCCAAGGTCAATCTTGAGCGCGCAGTCTCAGCAAACACGCGCATGGGCGGCCACTTTGTGCAAGGCCATGTCGATACCATCGCCACCATCGAATCTGTAACGCCCGACGGCAACGCCCTCACCTTCCGGTTCAAACCTCGCGATACATCGGTGCTGCGCTATATTGTCGAGAAGGGCTATGTCACAATAGACGGGGCGAGCCTGACAGTCACCAAGGTGCAGGATGGCCCTGACGGCTGGTGGGAGGTCATGCTCATTGCCTACACGCAAGAGAAGGTAGTGACGGCGAGCAAACAGCCTGGCGAAGACGTCAACGTCGAGGTAGACCAGGTAGGCAAGTACGTAGAGAAGAGCGTGGCAGGGTACTTTGAAGGCTCGGCCAACAGCGAGTTTGCCATATTGGAGAAGATGGTTTCCAAGCTGGTCGACGAGCGGCTGAAGGCGCTCGGAAAATAGACATGTGAGGCCGTGAGCAGCCCAGTCAATAGGGTGGACATGGCTGCCGCAAAAGCCACGGCCCCACCAGATTATCCAACGAAATCAAACCATTGTCATCTCTGCTCATATGGTTGCCTGGTGAAGATGAAAGGCATGGATGCTTGTCAGCCCCAGTTTGTGGTGGCTTGGGCAAAGTGAGGCGCAGTCATGCTTTTTGCGCAACACGTCTATATAGTGCTACCACCTTCTCCTGACATTTGTCAAGTCGCGCCTCTCTACTATTATTTTTTGCAGCTGGGCGGTTCTACTTGTTGCTTAGTTACCATTTCTGGGAAGCGAGTTTTGGGCCATGCTCGTCCGCCTGGATACCTGGCGCATGCAGTCGTCTCGCCACCATGTGCGCCGAATCAGTTGACACTTGTCAAGCCGCCTGCTGTCGGTACACAATCACGAGTAGATTCCAATGGCAGACGGCGGATCCATGATCCGACCACGTTGCTTACGTTGCAGGGCTAATCCGAGCTACGAGTGGGGAGACTGCCAGGCAGAACAGCGTCCCGCACCACCTGGAGCCAACACACACAGACAAACGATGTCATCATGGTAGAGGGCCATGTCCCCTCCGCCGATCGCCTGCCACGACTCTCCGTATAGCGGTCCATTTGCAACCGATAGCGCAGCTCTGCAGTTGCGTGCAGGAGTGGGGAGTGGCGTCTCCAAACTATCCGAAATAGCTCTTTCGGCCGGCACGGCAGCGCCTTTGTGCGTGCGAAGCTTGAACAAAGCAAAACTGGAAACGTTTGGATTGGGGGCCGAAAAGAAGCACACAGACGAATTGTGCGAAAGAGGAAGCAGAATTGCGGGTTACATGCAGGCTTGGTAAGGGAATCTGTCGGCACAAGCCATTGGCTTTCTCACCGGCGTGTTGCTGCATAACCACGTCAAGAGCCAGCCCTCTTCAAGCGCGCACCACTGGCCGTCTACCCCAGACGCTCACCCCGTAGCGTTATCGCTAGGGCGCCGTTTCATCTCCTCCCCGCCGACTTCCTGGCGTCCAAAAAGTGTATTGCTTCTCTCTAACCACCTCTGCTCGGTTACACGATCCCCGGCTCGTTTTGCACCATGGATTGGCGACTACTCGACTACGCCAAGGAGGCTGAAGAGACCGCCAATGGCCTTCTCGGGTTCGAGAATGAGATCCCTCAGTATCGCAAGGACATCAGAGGCTACATGGCCGAGCTGTATGCCATATCGCATGCCCTACGCGAGTTGCACGACGCACTCGGCTCTGTCCACTATGGCAGATATGCAGGCTACATCATCAAGGACCTCGAAATATGTCTCCCCAGCCTAGGCTACACGCTTGACGACGTGCAGGGCATCTTCAACAAGTCCAAGAGAAGCCGGCACGCAGCCCCAGGCGCGTTCCCAGGCACGCCACCTTATGCAATCATATGGGAGGATGCCCTCTCAGACTTCAGGACGCAGGGTATGTCCCTGCCCCAGCGGTTCGAGACTGTCAGGATGTATCTGCAGGGTATGCATGATACGTTGAAAGGGTAGGTGACAGGGCTCGTCATCTGCTTGAAGCAGGCTGACCGACTGCAGGGTTGAAAACGACGTTGAGCTGGCAAACTTCAAAGTCACACTGTCAAAATTGCTCAAGAAACAGAAGCCGATAGATTCCTACTTCAGCAAACTCTCGGTGCAGGGCGGCACAAGTGGTGCCAAAACGCCAAAGCCATCATCTCCCAAAGCCAACAGACCCAAGATACATAGTCATCCTACATATCCCACTGCCCAGCACGCGTATCCGCAATCGCCACCGCCACTCCCACATCGAGCTCATATTGCACCAACATGGGGTGGCATAGGTGACATACCCTTTGTCCCGCCACCTGTGCCTGAGATCCCCCAGTCGCCCACGTATTCGTCCGCATCATCACAAGCCTTCTCGGCACAATCGACCGATTCCGAGCCTGTCGCACACTGGTCGATGAAGATATTCGATGGTCGCCACGGTTCAACGCCATTTGCAACGCTGGGAGAGCCTACTGAGTGCTTTGGAAGAAATGAGCCCCGTGTCATCGAAATGCTGCAGGACGACGGATTCGAAAAAGTCCTGGAATTACCCTTTGAGGCAACGAATGTGTGGGTGCGAATGTACTGGAGACCCGATGACAACCGTGCACGGATTCTCTTCCTTTCCTTGGATACCGAGGGGCGCCGCATGCGATATCAGATCCCGATTACAGCACTGGCATTGCGGCGCACAGGGTCATGTCTACAGCTCTGCCGGGCCAATCGCCGAGACGGACAACTCGATTTGTGGGCTAGGTTACGCTTTCCCCTCTATGAGCGTGAGTATGCCAACAATATCACCACATGGCCCGTCTAACATCCCTCCAGGTATGGTCCTATTCTACTGTACCGCAATCGCCATGAAACGACAAGACCAGACCGTTGTTGCGGAGTCGCTTGTCGACCTCTTCGACCTCGAGAAGATTGTATTTAGCGGGCAAGTCATCAGTTGCATCACTGGTCAAGGCATCTCTAACAGAATCTAGTGAAACTGTGGACAGCAGGTACCTCCATGCTTTCCGTATATACTACGACGAGAATTCGGGCTGTGTGCGTTTCGAAGCTACCGCTCGTCGAGGCCCAATGAACACCATACCCATTTGGACTGCCTTCGTAACCCAATATGTTGGACGGAGGGACTGGATGAAGCGTGTCAGCCCTGACACGATACAATTTGAAAAGATGCATCCGTACGTGTTCTGCGACAGCTATAGGCTGCCCAAGGGCCCTTCCGGTAAATACCGGCTCACATTCACAACGGCTGAAGGTATGGTCGTCTACTAGAAGTCCCACAATCTGTTACTGACTCAAGGAATAGACGCAAAACAATTCAGAGACAGCTTCTATCGCATCAGGATCGAGTGAGGACCGGCACACGCACACAGACACAAGTCATGCTAGGCTGCCCGTCTTTCACCGACCTTTGGAACACTCGCTGGACGATGATGACGACTTTATGACATCAAAAACACTTATGAATTTACGAAGACGACCATGAGCACACGACTGTAGTACGACAAGGGTGGCTTCTGCTTTTCGGCATGATATACCCCACTCGATCTCACTGTTTCCATTGGGCGACCAAATTGACACTCTGGCCCTTTGGCGAATGCCGCCGCGTGTTATTTGATATTCCTTGTTGTTTTATGCGCATAGCTTAATAGCCAAAACGTGTATTTATGCTGAAAGGAGGGTGCCGCAAAGGAGAAAATACAATCGGCCTGATGTCAAGCTTTTCTGAGACTAGCCTCCCAAGCCCTGAATGCCCCGCTTTGGGACCCTTAGTGATTGGTGTCTGTGCGCTTGGGATACTACCAAAACCAAAATTTCCATATCACAACTTTCGGCGATAGCAACAACGCCAATCTCGTTTCCCTCACTTTACTCTATTCTTTACTCCACCTCTCGCTCTCTTCTCTCCCACAGTCACCATGGCGAACCAACAGGAGGCAGGAAAAAAGGACTCCCTCTCGGGCATGGCGCACTCTGAGGCGCATTACTTCAACAGGTAGACTCTCTCCGAGGAGCCCTAGGTGTACACAGCCTTTTGCTAACGTCGTCGTGCGCAGCTACAACCACCATGGTCCGTGACAATCCGTCTTACTGATGATAGTGATACTAATGCGCGTGCAAAGGCATCCACGAGGAAATGCTGGTAAGCAAGCCCCACCCGCTTCTCAGCCAGAGAGGCTCCAGTCACCAGCCTCGCCATTTCGCTGACCCTGCGCGTGTAGAAAGATGAAGTCCGAACAAAGAGCTACCGCGATGCCATCTACCAGAACCCGCACCTGTTCAAGGACAAGGTCGTCCTCGACGTCGGATGCGGTACCTCGATCCTCAGCATGTCCGCGCTCCCCCGCCACGACACAAAGCACACGAACACAGGCTGATACGCAGGATATAGGTTCGCCGTCAAGGCTGGCGCAAAGCACGTCATTGGCGTCGACATGTCGACCATCATCGAGAAGGCCAAAGAGATTGTCGAGGTGAACGGCATGTCAGACAAGATTACTCTGCTGCAAGGCAAGATGGAAGAGGTTGTCCTTCCCTACGACAAGGTCGACATAATAATATCCGAGTGGATGGGCTACTTCCTGCTGTATGAGTCCATGTTGGACACCGTCCTGTACGCGCGCGACAAGTACCTGGCCAAGGACGGCCTGATCTTCCCCGACAAGGCCACCATCTTCATGGCTGGTATCGAGGATGGCGAGTACAAGGAGGAGAAGATTGGCTGTGAGTCGAATGGCCTCGATTCAATTCATTTCATGTGCTAACGATGCCAGTCTGGGACAACGTGTGGGGCTTCGACTACACCCCGCTCAAGGCTACCGCCATGACAGAGCCTCTCGTCGACACGGTTGACATGAAGGCCGTTGTCACTGACCCCGCCCCGGTCATCACCCTCGACCTCTACAAGTGCACTGTTGCGGACCTTGCTTTCCGGTTACCGTACGAGCTCAAGGTGCGCCGCAGCGACTTTGTCCACGCCGTTATTGCCTGGTTCGACATTGAGTTCACCGCCTGCCACAAGCCCATCCGCTTCTCCACCGGACCCCACACAAAGTACACGCACTGGAAACAGACTGTCTTTTACCTCAAGGACGTCCTAACCGTCGAGGAGGGCGAGACAATCGGCGGTATCCTCGAGAACAAGCCTAGCGAGAAGAACCACCGCGACTTGGACATTACCATCTCGTACAAGCTCGAGACGCAGGACATGCACCGACAGGCGTCTGGCGAGGCACAATACAAGATGTGCTAAAGTGTATTATCGCATATAGCATGAAGCGAGAAAGAGTTTTTTTTCGGTCTCGAGAACGAGAAAGCTAAAAAGAAAAGAAAAGAAAAGAAAGGGGGACCGGGAGTTTCTCGTTGCAAGGCTTTTTCTTGATCGATAGACTTTTTGCGCTTTCAACAACACATACAAGGCACAAAGCGGCGTTTGATCGATACAAGTGTGTTTTTTTCTTCTTCTTTTCTGTTTGTTCCCATTTTAAGCTTTAAAGCTCTTTCTTTTTTTTGGAGGGGAATTTCGGTTAGGCTTGCGAATTTTTTTGGGTGGATGGAAGGGCAAGGGAAGAGGGCAAGGAAAGGGAAAGGGAAAAAAAATTAAATAAAATCTTAGGGTAGCCATGAACAGCAAATGCGTTTTGTTCACAAAACGAGCTATGTATGTAGCAAAAGCAGGGACCAATGTTACGCATTGGGAATTCCTCCCCTACAACCAAAAAAAAATCTGTTTATTGCGAAGGAGAGAGAGAGAGAGAGAGAGAGAAAGTT